CTGTGTGCAAGAGCAAATGGCCGTCAAGCATTAGGGGCGTTCTTTTTTTTTTTTTCCCCAAAGATTCTTATTATTTATTACTTATTTGAGAGAGAGAGAGAGAGAGCACGAGCAGGGGGAGTGACAGAGAGGGAGAAGCAGGCTTCCCGCCGAGCAGGGAGCCCGATGCGGGGCTCGATTCCAGGACCCCGCGATCATGACCTGAACCAAAGGCAGACGCTTAACCGAGTCAGCCACCCAGGCGTCCCTACTAGGGGCGTTCTGTCAGCATTCTGGAGGACCCGGGCAGCACTTTGTCCCCTCCCAGTGGACCTGGGGGTGAGTGGGACCAAGCAGGGGGCTGTCGCGGCGCGCGGCGCGGCCGATGTTACCGGTGGCTTCCCGGCCTCGTCAGTCTCCCAGAGCAGGGAGAAGACACTTCTCTCCCAAGGGCCCAGGTGACCTTTGCAAGGGCTGTCGGGGCGCTGTCACCAGGGACGGACTTCAGGCTGCAAGATCTCAGACCTCTCGCGGGACACCCTAGCAGTCGCTGAGGCTTGGCGGGGACGTCGCTTGTTCCCTGTTTTTGCTTTCAACCCCAGGAGGCCTGTGGCGCCCCCAGGGCTACTAGAGCCCCCCGCCAGGGGCGCGGGGGTTTCAGGGTCTGGGGGGAGGGGTGGAGTGCAGATCTCACTCCCCGACTGTGTCTGAATCTCCAGCTTCAAAGGCCAGAAGTTGGTTGAAGCTGGAGCTGCTGCTGACCTACTCCCCTCCCCGCCGCCTCCCCCGCCGCCCACCTGCAAAGTGCTTTTGGCAAGAGGCTTCCTGGGCACCGAGCCTCAGGACCGGGCTGCCGCTGGGCTTCCGCTGCCCTTCTGAAAAGCGTGATAGAAATTGCACTTTATCAGCAGCACATCCCGGGGCCAGAGCCACTTTCAGGGCAGGACGCATCTAGCTCTCTCATGCTAGATCAAGTTAAAATCGCCCAGTCCTGCCAAGGTCATCCTAGCTCCTCCCTCATCTCCTAGGAAGGCACAAGCAGATCCCCTCTGAGCTTGAAGGAGGTCTTGTCCTCTGCAGCCCATCCTGGTCTCTCCTGCCCTCGTTCATTTCCTCTCTTCTGGCCTTGCCTTCTTTCAGAGTTTCCTGGACTGAGATAGCGCAATTTAGCACTTCTTGTCTAGACCTGCGCCATCCAATATGGTAGCCACTGGCCACATGCACATGTGGCTCTTGAAATGTGGCTAGTCCAGATTGACGTGCACTCTCAGTCCAAAATATACTCCTGATTTCTAAAACTTAGTACCAAAGACAAACAAACCCCATTTCATTTTCAATGATCATTTTATGTTGATTACATGTTGAAATGAGAATATTTTGGGTATATTTGATTTGATAAGTTGTATTAATATTAACTTTACCTGTTTCTTTTTTTAATGAGGTTACTAGAAAACTTAAAGATACATACGTAGCTTGCCTCTATGGACCACGCACTTTATTCTATTGGACAACACTGGTCTAGACACTGGGATGAACCATGATGAATTTATAATCTTTCCTTCAACTCAACAAATACACTCTGAGCACCTGCCTGGTGCAGAGTGGGCTTAGTGACCCCAGCTGTCCCTCGTGGCCACCTTCAACTCAGAAGGGCACTGAGGAGGCCACACATAGAACTGGGAATTGAAATCTGGATCCACGATCCATCCAGAAATTCTGAACAGGTGAGTGCTGGGTTAGGGAGGGTGACCCAGGGACAGCCTGGGGTGGTGATCTTATCAAAGGATCTGGGAGCAGACTATATCAAAAACATATACCTGGGAATTCTCACAATAGTGGCCTTCACAGCAATTTTGAGTTTCTGGTCCCCCTCCACACTCTTTGGAAAACACTCTGCCAGAACGGCCTGTGACAAGTTCTGAAGCCAAAGTAAGTACTTTTCCAGATGATCTGTTTGGACCAGGTCTGGTGTTCATTCCAGCCCACAGAACCTTCCACTTGGGCAGATGGGAGAGATGTGCTGCAGAGGGCTGAGGCCACCTCCCTGACATCCCCCCCCCCCAGGCCCCCTCTGCTCTGCAGCTTCCTGCTCCTCTGGGCGCTCACACAGCCAACTCCTGGGGCTCCGGGGTTCGGCCTGAGGCTGAGAAGCAGGTGTCAAGAGTGACTGAGCACCGACCTTCACGAGTCACCCGTGATAAGTCTCACCCATGCCCTCCGCCAGAAGCCACGTTTTTCACCCCCTGAAGCCTCAGCTGTGTGACCCATCAGAGTCTGAAGGTCAGGACAGACCCAGAAGCGAGGAAGGGGTGGGCATGAGGAAGGAAGAATGGAGAGGCAGCTGCAATGGGAAAAGTTAAGAAGGTTTCCCACCCAGAGCAGATGTGGCAAGCCTAGACGGCAGGCAGTGACTGTGGATTGGAGAAGGATTCCGGCTGGGCTGCCTGGTCTGCCAGGGTGGGGAGAATGGGGGGTGGATGTTCCCGATATCCTGGGGGACTCAGAACAGGGCGCAGACCAGGAACCTACGCTGGCGCTGCCCTGAGTCCTGCTCTCTCTGCACGTGAACTAGGGTGGTCCTGGGAGACCCACCCCTTTGGGAATGGGGCTACGATTCCGGAGCTTCCAGCGTCTCATTCTCTCCAGGCCCTTGACCGGGGCTCTTTCTTGTTCCCATTAATCTCTAGTTTACCTTGCTTTCATGCTTGGCCCCGCCTCTTATCTTTCCCCTGAGCCAGATACCTCCAGGCCCAAAGCCTCTGAAGGGGAAGATGGGAAGAATAGGCTTCCCTGGCATGGGAGGGGCTCTGAGCCTTGGCCAAGCTCAGTCCCTTCCTGCCCCAGGCCTGGTGGGGGAGGGCAGAGATGAGAAAGGGCAAATTCTCTGCAGGCCGAAGAGCAGGTGCCCTGGGACCAGATTAGCGGTTTTATCCAGCTTTCTGGAATCTCTTGGGAGGCGAGGAGAGGCTTCTCCGGGCTGTAACCATAAAAGGGAAGTTGGGTCTCCCGCCTTTGAGTAGGATGCTTTCTATTCACCTCCCCTTCTGCTTTGCCAAAGCCAGAGGAAGGCGCTTATCTTTGCCGGGAGAGCCGAGGGAGCGGAAGGGCTGGCCCTCCACCCATGAGCGCGTATTTCCTGGCCAGGAACGGAAAAGTACACCCCTTAGTCCCAGTCTCCCAGCGCCCAGTCCTGGGTGCTCACTTCCCACCTCCAGTGCCACAGTCATCATGTCCCCTCCAGGCAAGGGGAGGACAGGGAAGGGTCCCTAGGCACGGCGCGGTCATTTACAGAAAGGAGAGAAGCAGGTTGGTGTGAGCTCCGTGGAAGCCCCAGGACGTGATCTTTAATTGATGTTCTTGTCCCTGCCTCCCCGCCCCGAGCCCCAGATGACATATGTACAGGATGCTGTATGGAGCCGTTTCCAGACCCGGCCCAGTGCAGCCTACACTCCTCCCTGGGCGCTTCCAGGGTGGGCGCTG